TTTTTTTTTTATAACATCTTTCATTTGCTTTCTATATAACCCTTGTAACGAGTTTTAGGCCGATAACTCCCAAGTCAGATTACCATAGGCACCAGGTTTTTAAACCCTTGCAGACTTAATCACTCGAGTTATACAGGATCGAACATATGTCTTTATTTATTCAATGATTAGTGCAATGCCCCTTTTCTTTTAGACATCCAGTTTCTAGAACTAACATCTAACTTGAAACTTTTACCTTGTTTTTGTCTCATTGGTTTAATCCAATCCACACAACACAATTTTCACGCATGGAATCCCTACTCATCTCAATGTTCCCCTATCATAGCTAAATCATCTCCAAACTTCTAAAATGATGGTTTATCGATAAGTGCAATAGAGGTGTTCGGGGTTGACCTATCATGTTCAACTCTACTATGATTCATATATCCCATCATTAGTTTAGCATGCCGAACACAAGTATTGTGCGCAAAAAAGAATGTCAAGTCTCTACATAGACAAGTATCGATCAATTTAACATGCAAAATTTCCACAATTCATAGCTATACTGCTTCCAATATTTTCATCATTGCCGGCAAGGCCATTAAACCCACACAAGCACACAAAATTTGAAAAATGCTAAAACCAAGAATAATGAAAAACAATGTTTTTTTTAATAATTGGATAGTAATAAATTTTTTGTTTTTTTTAATAAAGCAACAGGCACACAAAAGCAAGAAATCATACTGTACAGGGGCGAAGCCAGGATTTATATTCAGTGCCGGCATTTTTCTTCGACGCCAAACGTCGTTGAGTTTTTGTGACATCAAATTCCACATTATTCGATATCCCCTCATCAACATTTTCTACATTCGTTTTTCTTTGAAAGTATCTGNTTTCTTTGAAAGTATCTCTTCATTTGATATCTGAATGTAAACATTTCATATTCAATTAAATAATTACTACCAGGGGACAATCAATTAGACTTTACACAAACAGTCAAAACAATCAACTTTACTGGGCAATTCAGAGGACAATTCTATTCAAGTAGCTAATAGCATCACTATTAGCAATTCATTTAATCAAATTTCATTTCTCTGGGCAATAGTATACTCAATTCATAGTGCAATACACAATTTCAATTTCTAATTACAAATTTCACCAACAAAAGATCACCTCACAGAGACAGAGCCAAAGGTAGCAAGCTGCAAGCCAGCAAACAGCAATGAACTTCAAGTCTTGAATAATGTCTGTTTGGAATTGTCTAGCAATTGAACATCAAAGTCCTAATTTCACACGTTAAAGAGAAAAAAAAAAGCTTGAAGCTCGAACAAACGGCAGGGACATAATAAAAATTTTAATAACAGAAAAAAAAACTGCTTTCATAACAAACATTATTCACCTTCTTGGCTTCTTCTTCAGTTCTCTTCTGCTGGAGCTCGAACCTCGAAGTGTCAAACAAAGCTTGAAGCTCGAACAGCCTTACACAATTACACCGGACAGAATATAGAGAAACCGGTGGAAGAAGAGGCGGAAAGGGGCTGACTGGAGGCCGGAGGCGGGCCAAGCGGTGACAGAAGAACTAGCGGCGGACTGGAGAACGATCGAAGGGAACGGGCGAAGGGCGATTGGCGAACGAAGAGGGGGAGGAGATTGAAAATGAATGAGAAGAACTGAAGATGGGTTGTTTCAATCTTGGGCTGCTGGGCTTGGACGTGGGTTACATTTAAAAAAATAAAAAATTGGCCCAAAAAAAAAATTTCTGGCCCCAAATCTCAGTGCGGGCATTTGCCTGCACTGGACATAATGGGCCTCCGCCCCTAGCGCCAATTATAAGAATAATTTAGCCCTTGTTCCATACACATTATTTCCAAAAATTATTTTTTTCAATAAAATAATATTACGCGTAAATTCAAAATTTTTCCTTATTTTTTTAACTATACATTATCTCTCAATCTATTATTCTAAAATGCATTTTCCAGAAATAATGTGTATCAAACAAGCTCTTAGTTTTAAAAAATTAATTTTCTATTACTTTATGGAGGACTGAAAACTCATAAAGATTACTAATTTAGCAAAAAATAACAATTAATACACGTGATATTGAATGTCAATATTTTAGTATTAAAACTAGGTTAGTATAATGTTTTCCATAATTCAGTTTTTAAAACTATTTATTACTGAATTCATATATCTATAATTCCAAATATTGAGTGTTTATATTCTAATTATTTATGAAACGATTAATATGTAAAACTTATTATTTAAACAAATTTCATTTTCTGATTATCAAATCAGAACAATTCGAAAATGACGATTAGATGCTTCCACGGCGGAGAATTCACATGGGTACAAAATAGCATGCACTTTTATGATGATGAAGTTCACCACAAAGTTGACATGGTACATATATTTTGGATAGAATTGTTCGTGATTTGTGACTCTTCCCATCACCTACATGTATAAGAAGAGCGGAAAGAAATTGGCCAATGAGTTGACAAAGTTGACAGTCCAAAGAAAACTAGGCTACTGCCTTGAGCCTCAAGATCTTGAGGACCTCATTAAAAAAAATTCAGCTCAAATATGCCCCAACTCAAAATCCACCAAATCCATGAAAAAATAATTTGTTACCTTAGGTTAGAGGAACAAGAACTCAAGAGATAGTGAAGGTGATTGCTCTCATAATCACCACTAGAAAATCGCGGAGCTCTTTCAAGTCCAATGCAGGCACAAACCTACACTGAACTTTTGGGCCCAGCCCAAATACCAACTATTTTTTTTTTTTAAGTATAAGCCTAGCCCAGCCAAGAATGAAGATACCCAAATCCAATCCAAGGCAATGCCATTCAAGTGGAAATTACACAAAACCAGAATTTTCAATATTCGACTTCAAATTTCAGATACAAAATTTCACTTTTCAAAAATCAGATATTTCATCCCAAACTCTAATCAATTTCATCACAATCCAATTTTCTTCATCCTCTCTCTCTCAGTCTCCTCTCCTCTCTTGGTCTTCTCTCTACCTCTCTATTCAATCCATTCGGCCATCCCTATCTACTCCGACAAACATTGACAGCTCCACCAACCGACACTCTCTCTACAACAGATCATTAGTCCCCACCTAGGCCAAGTCGTCCCGCTACATGTCGTCATGCCTTGCTTGTGCACCACCAAATGTGAGCGACAACAAATAGATTCAAGTCTGTTGTACTCGTGACTAATTTCAACTTCCAGATTCAGATCCTCATTGGCTTTGATCTCAAGTTTTTCAATCTAATTTTTGATCGGTGGGTCTCCTGGCTAGAGCGGATCCTCCTGTGACACGCTGGACGGCGCGACGATTGGGGGCTAGGCTAGGGCCTGGGTTGATATTGGCACCGTTGGTAGCTGGGGTTGTGTTAGTGGTAGTAGGATGTTCGATTGGTGGTGGGACTGGAAATGTCGTCACCGTAGTTAGTGGGTCGGAGGAATTTAAGCCGTCGGTGCCAGTATCTCCGTCACCATACGGGGAGTGAGTGCTACTATTGTTTGTCGGGTTGAGATAAAAGGGAAATAGGAGGATCGGACTTAAATGGTTGGGTTTTACAGTGGGCTTATATGTTCCAACTTTGTGTTGGTGGTGGCAGTCTCCGTCTCCGTCTCCTCACTCTCTCTTCTCTACCATCTTTTCTCTTCTCACTCTCTATTCCTCTTCATCGGTGGAAGTGGCATATGGCGGAGAACTAAGTGCCATCGTGCACAGCGCCAAATTGTCGCTGCCGCGTGGATTGACAGTAATGAATTTGAGGAGATGGTGGTGGTGGTCGCGACGGTGGTGGTGTTGATGGTAATGGATTTGAGGAGACGGCGATGGTGGTAAAGGCGGCATTGGTGATTGTGCTACTGTTGGCGGAGGTGGTGGCATTGACGATAATGAATTTGAGGAGACGGTGGTTGTGGTACAGGCGGCATTGGTGGTTGTGCTATTGTTGGCGAAAGTGGTGGTCACAAATTGTTTTGTTGATTTGTTTGAGGTGGTGTTGCTGTTTGAGGTTGTGGTGATGGTGGTTCTGGTGGCGACGGTGGAAGTTGTGAGGTGGTGATCACAAGTTAGTAGTTGGCGGTGGTCACATATTATTTGGTCGTTTATGATCATTAAATTGGTTAATTTGTGACAAATAAATAATATGTGACCAATGAAAAACATAAATTATGACAAAAAAATAATGTGCGATCTAAAAAATTATTAATTTGTGATCGTTAATTTGACAATTTGTGACTGTCTATTAAGTTGTGACTTATAATATTTGTGATTTGTGACCGATAAATAAATTGTAACGTATAAATTTTTTATTTATGACCGATAAAAAAATTGTGACCTATAAAATTTCTGAATTGTGATTGTNTTCAGTAAATTTACTTGCTTGTCGGCTTCTATTGACTCTTTTGGAAATTAGTAATTTATTTATGATAATAATTTTTTACCTGAAGAATGAAATTGCAAGCTTAAATGTTACGGTAGAACCTTGTATTAATTTATTGATTTAAGTTTGTATTGAAACAATTAATATATTTATTATTTGTGTTATTTTTAGGTCGCTAAAGCCGTGGTTTGAAACCAAATCAAACTGCAAAATTGGTTTGGTTTGAAAATATTCAAAAGCTGCCCAAACCAAACTGTGTTGACACGTGCTAAAATAACATGTTCATTTCTATTTGAATTTGCAGGACTATGATAATTGCTAATGCTGGGGATTCCCGGGCTGTGTTGGGGAAAAGAGGAAGAGCTATCGAACTGTCAAAAGACCACAAACCTGATTGTACCTCCGAAAGGCTGAGGATAGAAAAGCTCGGGGGTGTCATTTGTGATGGCTATCTAAATGGCCAACTCTCAGTTGCTCGTGCTCTTGGTGACTGGCATATAAAGGGCTCTAAAGGTTCAAAGTGCCCGTTAAGCCCTGAACCAGAGCTGGAAGAGGTGGTTATAACTGAGGAAGACGAGTTCATAATAATTGGTTGTGACGGTTTATGGGACGTGATGAGCAGCCAATGTGCAGTAACTATTGTAAGGAAGGAGCTGATGCTGCATAATGATCCCGATAAGTGCTCCCGAGAGCTTGTGAGGGAGGCACTCAAACGCAACACCTGCGACAATCTAACAGTTATCGTGGCTTGTTTTTCTCCCAATCCTCCACCTCGGATTGAAATTCCAAAATCACATCGGAGGAGGAGCATATCTGCTGAAGGGCTAGATCTTTTAAAGGGTGTCTTGAGTAATATCTAAAAAATGATACTATTTTCTTGCACGATTAGATAGCTGAGTTTGCAATACTGTTTGGGGATTTTTCTGAATTTCAGCTGTCTCCATTGCATAGAGTGTAGGAGTTGACATATGTTATCCTTGAGTGTTTCTTCATCTTTGGAAGCATCAGGGCAGTTGGTTATAATTTCCAGTATTAGAGATTAGATGGATTTTTATTAGTCAGTGTATCGTTTCAATAATGATGTTAATAAATATTTTTATTCCCTTAACGTTATGTTGGGTGCATCTTACAATGTCCTGTTTGTTGTAGATTAAAATCTACAAAAAATCTCTAATTAAAGTTCACTAAGCACTTGTTTGATAGTCATTCTTTCAAACGGTGGAGTTTTTGAACGGTAAATTTTTTAAGAATGTGTTTTCAAAAAGTAGGAAAAAGTTTTGGGTTTAGTGAATAATATTTTATTGTGAGATTGTGTTGTTAAAAATTAGTTCATGAAAAAAAATAGTTTTGAAAGAATGATTCTCGAACAAGGGCTACTTTTAACCATGCATTTCACAGACCAACTTTTATTAAAATTTACTATAACTCTGATTTTAGTCAACACCAAAAAGGAGCTATATTGTATCAATTTTCTAAATTTTTATATTCTTTTCGTGTTCCAACTTTGTTGACAATATTATTATATTTATTATTGTCAAAATTATATAATGACCTATTGGATAAAATTAAAGTCAAAAATTATTTTTGAAATTAAGAAGAGACTTTTAAATATATTTGAATAATTCTTTGAAAGTATTTTGTTTGATTAGAAGAATTTTATAGAAAGTTGGTAAAATAATTTTTTTCGAAAACTCTTCTATAAAAAATAATGGAAAGATTTCATAACTAAGATGTTAAATATCACTAATTTCAAATTTAAAAGATCAAAGTTTAAAATTTCAAATTTCAGAATTTTTTAAATTTTATTTATAAATTAATTAATTAATATATTAATGTCACAATTCCATACAATTTGATCACACATTTCATATAATTGGTCACATATTACTAATTGCTCACAAATCACAATTTTTATATGTCACAAATTATTTTACGGTCACAATTCAAAAAATTTATAGATCACAATTTATTCATCGGTCACAAATCAAAAATTTTATAAGTTACGAAATTTTATAAGTCACAATTTGTTCATCGATCACAGATAAAAAATTTATACATCACAATTTATTTATCAATCACAAGTCACAAATATTATAAGTTACAACTTAGTAGACAATCACAAATTATCGATCACAACTTAACAATTTTTTTTAGGTCACATATTATTTTCTGGTCACAATATATCTTTTTCATTGGTTGAATATTATTTATCAATCACATATTGATGAATTTAATAGTCACAAACAACCAAATAATCAGTGATCAGCAATTTGTGACCACCACCTCACCACTGTCACCAACAACATGGGAATCAAACCCCGTCCCCGGAACCACAACTACCTCTCGGCAGCAAACCATTATCTAAAAATACCGACATCACCACAACCCCCACTACCCACACATAACCACCGTTTCACCACCACCACCCCTATCCTACAACCTAAAAAAAATCTCCAACCCTTCCATCATCTCTGCCACCATCACCGACCACCACACAGTAGCAACGCAAAGCCACCACCACAATAACACAAACCCACCACCAAAATAATGTAAAACAACCACCAGATCGCGAGCGTTTTGCTCACCTCTACCACCACCACAACCATCCCCTCTCTTCTCTAGTCGATCTGTAAAGTAGGCCACATGTGACTAGAGAAAAAATGGGAGACAAGCAGCACCTTCAATTTGCAGTGTTGACCACGAAGAAAAATGGAAGAAACTACACCCTAGATCTGCAGCACCCTCTAGTTTCTCAGCGGCAACCCGACACTTATCAACCAAATAATTGGTCACAAACATCCCCACTCCAATCTATCCCACCCGCAAACCACCATCTACCACCACGACAACCACCACCAGCACCGCCACCACCTTACCACCGCAGCCAACATCACAACCACGACCACCAAACACCACTAAGAAATCAAATCTAGATTCAAAATTAGAGCCGTGCACCAAAGGCGTCATCGCCGCTGTGCGCAACTTCATCTCAGCGGTTGAGACCACCACCCCATACCTTTAATACAAACTACGGTCGGTCACCCATTCCACCGCCAATATTCTTCACTTCACTGGAAGTCACTCCTTCACAGATGTGTCACGCCATCTTCATCCTCATCAACAATTCTATTGCACCGCTGCGCAGGGATACCATAGTCCCACTGAAAATAAAATCAGTTGTGCACCTACCAAGAACCACACAAAGCTTTTAGTACCACGGTGGCTGCACGCGAAGTTACAACTGCTCACCATGCAACCACGACAGTTAAAGAGAGTGGAGAATTAGGGTGCGGAGAGGCAATGGAGAATTAAGACAGTGCACATAAATCAATTTAAGCGCAGAGAGTAGAAAGGGATTGTGGAGGGAGAAAGTGGATATATAATTAATTTTTAATAATAATATATTTATCTACTAATAATAATAGATTAATTAACAAAAAATCTGATTTTTGAATTAGTAAACCTAACCTATGATTTATGAAATGTGATCTCCAAACCTCTTGGTCCGTGTAATTTCCACATTTAAAAATATTTGAAATTTGAAACTTTAAACTTAAGCTCTTAATTAAGAATTTTTCGCACCACTCAACTCTCACCCACACCCATTCCTTCCGCCCCTCTACTATTCTAATCGAACTGCTTCTCAACCTCTCACAAGACACGGATGCAAGGGTGGAGCCCAATGAAGCCCAATACAGGCACATGTTTGTACTGAACTTCAATGCCCAACCCGAAGTCCCAAATTTTTTTTAATATTATTATTATTAAAAAAAAAAAAAAAAACTAATCACCACATTTGTAACCAACAAGTGAATCCCAGTACCATTCATATTCATCCTAATACCATATTACCATTAGATCCATTGGACTATTACCAATTAAAACTTAGAGGAAATTACACCCAGCCATAGTTTTAAATTTCCATTTTCATAAATCTCATCCCAAGTTTAACTTCTCAAAAATCAGGTTTCTTATATTTAATTTAATATTAATTATATATTTTTCATCCCAATTAAAAAACCCAAATCAATCCTAAAATTCATTCAACATACTTCCCATTCTCTCACCTCCTACCCATTCTCTCTCCCGTTTCTCACAGAAACGGTCGCCGCTGATGATGCAGTCTGCCGCCGACGCTCCCTCTCTCGTCTTCACTCTCCCTCTCGTCTCTTTCGTCTGGACTCCTCCTCTCTCCATCAGTCTTCTCTCTTCCCCCACGCCTGAAGGAGCTCCGACACTGCATCTCCTCGCCACGACCGCCGACGATTGTTCCCCCTCATCTCTCTGTTGCTCTTCACTCCCTCACTTCTCTCTCTGTTTGGATCCACGATATGCTCGCCGCCTCCACCGCATTTCACTTCACAAACCCTAATCACACACCATCTCTCTCATTTCTATCTATTTCGCCGGATTTCTGCTTATGGTAAAATTAGGTCACTTCACAAACCCTAATCACACACCATCTCTCTCACATGAGTGCCAACGGTGCGGATCCAGTGGTCTCGGTCCGGATCCGATCAGGCGTAGCAGATCCAGTGTTGGCCGTGGTTCCGATTTTTTGCGGTGGTTGGGTGTGTATGTTTGTGCGGCAGTGGTTCATCTTTCTCACTTCTATCTATTTCACCGGATTTCTGCTTATGGTAAAATTAGTCACTTCACAAACCCTAAGCACACACCATTTCTCGCACAAGAGTGCCCCGGCGCGGATCCAGTGGTCTCGGTACGGATACGTTTTGGAGTTGCAGATCCAGTGTTGGCTGTGGTTCCGGTGTTTTGCGGTGGTTGGGAGTGTGTGTTTGTGCGGCGGTGGTGATCGTGTGGTTTGGGTGTGTTTCTTGTTGCGTGCGGTGGTGCATTTCTGTAGGATGGTTGTGCTGTTTTCTGTGCGATCGTTGCGGTGTTGCTGTGTGATGGTTGGATGTGTGGCGTGTGGCGAGTGTCGTCGTGCTACACGCGATGGTGGTGAAGATGCGTCAACATGGTGGCGCCGCTGGTAGAGTCAGTGGCGAAATGGTGGTCACAAATGATTTGGATTGGTCACAAATGATTTGATTGTTTGTGATCAATGAGTTGGTCAATTTGTGACCAATAAACAATTTGTGACCAATGGATTCAATAAACTGTGACGAGTAGAAACTGTGTGACCTAAAAATTACTAATTTGTGACTTGAAAATTATCAATTTGTGACCAATAAATTGATGTTTGTGACCATAAAATAAATAAAGTAAATTTTAAATTTTGTGATTGTGACTGATAAATANATCTGATTTGTGAATTTTCAAACTTGTTTTTGTATTTTTGAAAAGGTGTAAACTAAGTACCTTGTAAATGTATTGTTAACTAGGGGCTTGTTTGGTAACACAAAAAATTCAATTAAAATTGAAAATATAATCGTTATTGGATCCCACCCGTCTAATAAAAATCAATAATAACAACTAATTTTTCAATTTTAATTCGATTTTAATCTCTACCAAACAAACTTATCATTTGCTTTCAATTTGAAGAAAACAAATACCCAAACCAAACGCAGGCTTGTAGCACCTCTTCTCGGCAACCGTTTGTCGAGATGGCGGCGGCGGCAAAGCCTAAGGGTGGTAAATTATGCTCTATCTGCAACGAGAGACGCGCCGCCCTCAAGCGCCCCAAAACCCTTGAACAAGTATGCATATTGTTTTTCTTTTGTTATTTTCTTCTTAGGCTTAGATGAAGAGAATCCTATTTTTCTTTTTGAAAAAGATATGCAGGGAGTGTTTTTACTCGGTGTTTGAAGATGAAATACACAACGTGATCGTAGAGAACCAACTTTTCAAGCCCGGGGAGCGTATCGCAATCGGAGCTTCTGGAGGAAAAGGTGAGAAAATTGGATTTGTGTTTCAATTGTAATGGTAACATTTATTTTAATTAGACGCTTGTTAGAGATGAATTAAAATGGATTAGTTTAAAGGAATTTCCTTTGAAATTTTTGTATTGATGACATATGAAGTGCATAAGGATAAACCTTTTACTAGTATTTTTTAACTTGCTCTCGTGCTATGTGCAGATTCCACGGTGCTTGCTTATGTATTGTCAGAATTGAATCGTAGGCATAATTATGGCTTGGATCTCTTCCTCCTTTCTGTTGATGAAGGAATAACTGGTTATAGGGACGATTCACTTGAAACTGTTAAAAGAAATGAAATCCAGGTGAAGTATCTTACTTACTGAATTCCTTTTTTTCTTGCTTGATGTAATTGAGCTCTTACTCTTGAACCGTGCAAACTAAAATTTCACTAGTGTAAAACTCAAGCAATTAACTTGTTAGCTTAGTGCAAAATTAATGATCAGCTTGCATTGCACAGAGACTGTTCTTTCACATTTAATGTTAATTGAATGTGTGTTAAGTATAGGAAGTAATTTGCACAGAGCAAAACATTTATGCTGGTTGGAAAAGTCTGTTATTCGTATATGCAGCCACCTGAACTTAACATGGAATTGCAGTATGTAAAATCTAGACTTTCACGTTTCTCAACTATTGCTATTTTATGCTTCTGGTGTTCAATACTAGTAAAAAGGGGTTTCATTCCTTATTGCACTTTTTCTGTTACGAATGTTACAAATGCATATATTTCCTCCTTAAAGCTGGACCATTTGTTTGCTACAATAAGCTTTATACTTTGAGAAGTAATAATTTCTCATTTTTTGTGGTAGGGGTTTGCTTGATACACTATTCTTTTCTATTAGCTTTTCCGCATTTCTTGTCAAGTTTTAAGTCTCTTCTTCTTGTTACACCATTTCAGTATGGACTTCCTCTGAAAGTTGTTTCTTATAAAGAATTGTATGGATGGACAATGGATGAGATAGTGAAGTTGATAGGTTTGAAGAATAATTGCACATTCTGTGGTGTATTTCGTCGCCAGGTAAAGAAGTTACTCGTTTTTTAAGTAAGTTAGCTCAAATGTCATATTTGAATTCTAGAATTTTGTTATTTTTTTCATGCAACAACATAAACCTTCTTTTTTCAATTTTCTTTGATTTTCTGGCATCCCAAGTTCACATGTTTACAAACACTCATATATGTCTTGTAATGCAAGTAATGAGACTAAGCCCTTGTTTGAGCTCCATTTTAATGAGATTTTGGGAAAAATATATTTTGGAATAGTAATTTTTTAGAGAATGCATGCTTAAAAAATAAGGAAAAATCTCAAGTTTACGTGTAATATTATTTTATTGAAAAATGTGTGGTTGATAAAAAGAGAGATTAATGAATTAAAATTTTAATGGAGTCCAAACAGGGGCTATATTCGGTCATGGAAAATATCTTAATTTCTTGTCATTATCTTGTGTTGATTTTGGTCGTTAATGTGATTTATATTGGCGAAATTTTGGTTTACGAATGTTGCCTTGGCTTTTAAGTCTTCATTTTTAAAGCCTTGTTTGGCACAGATTTTTCTTAATATCATTTTTCCACAAAATCATTTTCAACCACACATTCTATGCCATGGGACCCACAACTTTTCCCTACTTTTTAACCCCGCATTCTCCGAAACAATCATTTTTAAGTTGGAAAAGCCTTTGCCAAACGAGATTTAAGAACCTGTAAATTACACCACTTAGTGGTAATTTTTTGTGTTTAAGGCCCTTGATCGAGGTGCTGCACTGTTGAAAGTAGACAAGCTAGTTACTGGACACAATGCGGATGATATTGCTGAAACGGTCCTCTTGAACATATTACGAGGTGACATTGCTAGGTAATACATTCTTATTTGAAGCCTTGATAGCGTGACAGACAGAGGTCAGGTGGATCATGGGAATATAGTTTTTCTCCTTGTTCTTCTTCCTCTTCTCTGTTTGTCCCCCCCCCCCCCCCCCCTGTTGAATTTACTGGGTTTTACATTGTATTTTCTTTATTTCTTACAGCTATTTTAAATACATATCCATTTTTATTTTTCTCATTAACTATGAACAATAATTGCAAGACCTTAACCTGCTGTCACGTATGCATACTTTAAAAGGCTGGATTACTTCTCTACTGAATGTAAGTTTCAGTACTAGTTCCTTGCTGTTATTTCTTTGTAAATCTCGTCTCTTTTTTGTCTGGTTATTTTCTTCTTTCTTTTTAGGTTCTTGCCCTCTATCCTTACTGTTCATAATTTTCTCTCACTGAGAAGAGGATCCAACTGTGTTGCACGAACACTTCAACTAAGATGGAGTATCCGTGTGACACGTGTCGAATACAGACACTCTTTTCGGACACTCTACTATGTTATTTTTCTTTCTTTATCAAAAATATTATATCTTTGTAACTCAAAATTATTATTAAATAACAAATAGGTACTCATATTTAAAAGATTTGAATAAGAAAAATTAATAACAAGTATAAATTAAATTTATACTATATAAACGAAGAATTTTATCAACGTGTCATGTTAGTACTTTTATAAATCGAGTGTTGGTGTGTCAACACACATGTCCGCGTTGGTGTATCATAGGGATCCAATCTAATGAAAATGGCAAGTTACTTTTCTTGAACTTCCAAATAAGAGTTCCTTGTTTCCTAGGAGGCTAGGACTGTATCTTTGAGGCTGAGGAAATTATAATGTTTTCTTTTACTGGATAAATTACCTGAGTCAGACCTTTTCTCAGTTTTTTCAATAGTACATGCATCATAAATATTCAACCCATATTATTTTCCAATATCTTTTGCTCTGTCTTGGATTTGTTGTATATCTTTATTTTTTTCCCTTCTTGGGGTGTGTGGGGGGGAGTGGGGAAAGAGGGGGGTGTTTCTCAGGTCCTATATCCTATATACCCCTTTTAGTTATGATTTTGTGATGTATGCCACGGTTTATGCTTCTGGTTGCTCCTCTGCTTGAATTCGTATTTGCTTCTGAAATTGCAGGCATATACTCCCCAAATGCGTACCGTGGATTTGCTCGGGAGTTCATTAAAGATTTGGAGAGGATGAGGTTAGAACACAATCTCTTCTTGTGATTCTATGGAGTTATTGTTTTTGTGTGATCCTGAAATCTCAATTTTATTTGGTGGGTTAACATTGTAGACCCAGAGCTATACTCGACATTATCAAATCAGGTGAGGATTTCAGGATCTCTGCTTCTACAAAAATGCCAGAACAGGGAAATTGTGAAAGATGTGGTTACATTTCAAGCCAGGTGAGGATGCTTTTCCCATTGCCTTCCTACTAAATTTGTTTCCTCAACAGTTATTGTTATACTACTTGTGATTAGATTCTAGTGATTTTCTGTGGCATCAATCTGTTCTTTGTTTCTCTCTCTCTCTGTCTTTTTGATTGTCACATTTAAGAGCTAATACTTCAATGGATTCCATATATAAGTTTTGGAGACAATTTTTAATCCGCATTTCCTGACGAATGTCTCTGTAATGAAATTTCCTCTTGGGATTTGTATACTGGTCTTGTATTATAGTTATACCTGAATTGAAGTGTGTAGAGTCTGTTGAGTTTACTGATTTGGTAAGAGCGGTATGTATTGCTTATCTACGCTGATATATGTATGCAGAAATGGTGTAAGGCATGTGTTTTGCTGGAGGGTCTGAATCGAGGTTTACCCAAGCTGGGTATTGGGCGTAGCCGGGGTGTCAATAATGAACCGAATAAGGATACAAAACAAACTAATGGAACAAAGAGCATGCAAAGCAAACAATGTGGAACACTGGACTTCTGATGTAAGGTTAGAAATTCAGTAGTTAGTTGAAGGAGATCAAGTCCTCGTTCAGAGCCAATAGTCGCTCCAATAGGGACTAGTTTGTACCTCCATGCACACCTGGTGATCCGGGTTGGTGTGTGTCTTTATTGAGTCTTATTTTGCTGCTGCAACCAATTCTATAGGTTGTGATGTGGTAGTAAATCTTGAGTATTTATTGTATTTCTGGCAAAATTTTGTTGTCAAACAGCTTCTTGGAGCATCTCTAATGCATTCCATTGTCAATTCGATTTGCGTGGCATTGTCAAACATGTTTCATCGAAGAGGAAAGTTTTTAGACATGGTCTATTTTACTTTCGTGGTAGCTTTTTCGATTCAATCCACAATAATCCCCTATTTGGTTTAGCTAAAAATTTCATAAAAATATAAATCGTCAATAATTAATTAAAATCACATTTCATGGCAATGGACCATACATTAAAAATTTACTAAAAAATTTATTTTTGCAAAATCAATCCAAGGTTAAACGAGTAATGTTATTTGACGCAAGTGATGCTTAGTATTTTCGTAGCAATTATGTCGTTATCACACCGTTTAATGTAGTTGAGAGTATTTTTCTTCGTTAGAAAATGTAACAATGACGCCAATGCCATATAGAGTGATGATATATGGTTTAGCACCACTTATGCTATATAACATTATTTTTGTCAAATTGATGCATATCCCGTTGCATTTTAACGTAGTGTAAAGTTGTATATAAATACAGACCTTCTACTTTATCCCATGTTCGATAATAATTAAAATCATATTTTTAGTAGATCTTGATAGAAGTTAAAGAAAATTGTAGTTGAAAATTTGTGAGACTTATAAAATATGCGGTTGAAATGAATTGTTGACTTTGATTTCGATATTTTAATCGATACTAAACAATGGCGTAATGAGTTTTAAATATTTATTTGTCTTAGAAAAACAATAATTAACACAGTTTCATAAAATAAAAACAACCGATTCAGTAATAATATAAATAAAACTATATGATTAATAAAAAAAAAATTGTATAGATCTTAGCTTTAATTTTTTTTTTAAATTGAGAATTTATATATTTCAATAAAATATTGAATTCAAATAAAAATCTACGTTAACCTTAAATTTTATATTATATCCATACCTTTTATATTAAAAAATAAATAAATAATTTCGGTGCTTTGGTCGGGTGAATGACTAAACCTACCTGTTAGTATAACTACGCTCTGAACTCTCCAGAACGGCAAATCTCCATTGTCTACTGGAAGTTTCCCTCTTAGGTTATTTATTTGTTTTTCTATGAAGTTTTCCTTTTCCGCTTACTTATATTTGTCAGATCCTCTTGTTTTTAGCACTGGGAAATTTTGTTCACGTTTAACACTGGTTAGGGTTTATTCGGTTTTCGACTGATTTTTATTTAATCATTGACGAACATTTGAATTCCAGAAAATCATTGTCGTATATTTGGATTCCGCGTTTACTTCTCAGCTTCTGTCCCCATGGCGGTATGTCAGATGCTTACTTCATTTTGTGTTGTCAGCTATTTATTTTCTGTGAATTTGGCTCTGAAAATGTGATTTGATTGTGCAGATAGAAAGTCTTTTTAAAGATGAGGCTACAGAAGAAAAGGGTGAGAGGGCAAGAATGGTGAGTATTATATAATCTAAAATAAATGAATTAATCACTTATCATGGTAGGATAGCATGTGCTTATTTTTGTAATAATAGGTTGATGTCTAGTTATTGCTACGACTCATTTGATTTTGAAACAGTTTGTCAATGACACATTTTATATGTAGGAAAATATTGGATATAAATTACGGTGGACTGTCTTGTTTCTGGACTAACAATTGTTTTTGTGGGTCTTAATATTAGGCTTCCTTTATTGGAGCAATGGCAATTGCTGACTTAGTGAAGACAACATTGGGGCCGAAGGGGATGGTAAAAAAGCTTCTTCTTCTGATTTTGTGTACAGGTTAGGTTTTACTTTTATTTGTTAGCTCATTGTGTAACTTCCCTTTGTAGGATAAAATTTTACAATCAACTGGCAGAGGGCACAGTGTTACAGTTACAAATGATGGTGCTACCATCCTAAAGTCCCTCCATATTGACAACCCTGCTGCCAAAGTCCTTGTGGGTATCCTTGATGTTAAGTAATTGTTGTGCTGCTTTGCTTCATTGTTGGGGGAACATGATTTTTACCTTGAAAAAATTTCCTTCTATGTGCTATGTGTAATGTTGAATGTGAAGCTTGAGCTGTTGAATTTTACAGATCTTACATGATCTAGGTCATGATCTTAAAATAAGTTGAGGTCCAAGTGTTATATTTCAACCATTCTAGTACATGCAGTCCAACATCACTCACGTTTATGAAAATTAAAATGGCAGCCAATTTGACTCCGCATTTCTTCTCAAAATCAAAATTTTCCAGAAGCTAAAACTATAGGAGTAGTCTGTATAACTAATGCACTGGAAAGCCTTAAATCCTTTATTAGACATCTCAAAAGTCCAAGATGATGAAGTTGGCGATGGAACAACTTCAGTTGTTGTCTTGGCTGGGGAGCTTTTGAGGGAGGCGGAGAAGCTGGTAAACTCAAAGATTCATCCGATGACAATTATTGCAGGTAAGTTATATGTTTTTTAATGAAATTATTTATGATTTCACTTCTCTTATTCATTATTTCGTGAGTGCTATTTCCATAGTTATGGCAGGTACTTCAACTTCTCTAAACTTTGTCAATATGAAAGATGACCCAGCGAGAGTTTAATATTGATACGATAATTACAGTTTCATTGCGCTTTTTCCTTTTAGACAGCTTTGTTTCCATCTCTTCAATCACCGTTCTACTTTTGCAACGATGGAATTAGTCAGTTTTTTGAGTTCGAAACAAATTTTGCTGCACAACATTAGGGATAGTTGAATTTCTTTGTTAACTGTTGGTATGTTTATTTATGTGATGTAAATGTGATGTCCTGTAATTCATAGATGTAATGAAGGTATAATTGATTGGAATATTTGTACTTTTTGAAATACTTACTATACACACATTTTCAGGATATCGTATGGCAGCTGAAGCTGCTAGGAACGCTTTGCTGGCAAGGGTTATGGATAATAAGCAGGATGCTGGTAATTAATATCTACTACTCATTCTCACTTTTGAACTTGGTACCCCTGATAAATGTATTGTGTTTGCTGGTTTATTCATCAATTCTGGTCACCTTTTGCTCCTTTATATAACTTAATTTGGTTCATAATCGTTTGTTTGTTTATAATTCATAAAAATCTTATTACATGTGTTGTACACCTATTAGAATACTTCTTCATTTGGTCTATCCAGAAGTTCGCTTCTTGGTGTTACGCCATCACCCTTTATATTTGCCAACTGGCTTAACATGAAATCATGGCTAGACAGAATCAATTTTTTTTAACATTCATAAAGATGGAAATGATCTACCCTTTTAAGAAAATAATTTTTCTAAGATGAGAAGATAATAAGTTTTATCGACTCTGGATTTTACTTGAACATATGATTTAGTCCTCCTTTTGGCTGTTTCTTGAGTTGAACTGTGATATGATGGCATTGATATGTCTAATGCACAAACTTGGTGATCTTGCAGAGAAATTCAAAGAAGACTTGGTAAAGATAGCAATGACCACTTTGAGTTCCAAAATTCTATCACAGGACAAAGAACATTTTGCAACACTAGCTGTTGATGCAGTTATGAGGCTAAAGGTAAAGTCATTTGCACTTGCCACTTATTTCTCGTGAATTTGATGCCTTGAGCGTGTTACATAGACAATTTTGTCATAACTGTCAATGCTTGTCCCTTGTAATATTGCATTTAAGCTATTAAAAATGGTTCTTCTGAAAATGATGGAAATTTTTTTAGCTGCATTTGCTGATGAATGCTGGATTTCTTTGCGAGTTCAAAATTTGTGCTGATCAAATGAATACCGTTGCATCACATCAGTATGGATCATCTTTTGTGTGATTGACTTAAAGCCTTTACAGTTACTTGCATATTTTGTGGATCACGTGTTTGTACGAAGCTGGCTGGTTTGTGAACAAAATGATGGAAGTGCATTGAGCCTCTGTAACCTGTCTTTTGTAACTTCTCTGTTCTTCCCCTAATTCTTTGCTCATTGCATAAGAAATGCTGGTAGCTTACTGTTGTGGTGGGCTGGGACATCTTGTTTGATACCTGGCAACAATGTATAGAGTGGTAGAAAAGGACAATATATAATGAACAGGCATGGTTGAGATGGCCATCTACTTGCTAGATAAATATAAAGTCGACTCATACTTGGTTTTAACTTCTAACTATAGAAGCCTCTTATTTGCTAGCCGTATGATCAGACATACTGAAGCACGTACATGCACATACATATTATATGCTTTAGTCTAGGCCACACTACTGAATATTTGCATTGGCAAGGGCTTTGAAAGGTGGTTATTCATAATCATCTGTTAATATGGCACATTAATAATACTGCATGTCTATTCTTTAGAACATCTTGATGTTTTATTCTTCTGAGTTGTTTATCTAGGATTTGCAATATCATCTCACTCGCAAACTGTGCAAGTAGAAACCTATTTCTGCCTTTATCCCATTGTTCTTTATCAATTGTGTTCTTTATTATGGTTATGTTTTTAACTTCTGAGGCCTTACGTTTTAATCATTCACTTTGCTGGTTGAAGTTCCCAGTAGTGTATCTAATTAGTTGGTTGGAAATTACAGGGCAGCACAAACCTGGAGTCAATTCAGATCATTAAGAAACCCGGAGGTTCATTGAAAGATTCATTTTTAGATGAGGGGTAGGCATCTGAACTTTTTTGATCTAATATAAGTGATTTCATATTTTCGTTTACCACGTTGTATGTTATTCTGCCCATGCAGACCTCATTTTCTCATGTAAATTGCCTTTCTGAAAGCTTCAAGACTGTTATTTAAGGGATGAAAATGCATAATGACAGCACGATTAAGGTTAAATAGTTGTGAGATTTTCAAGTCAAGAAATCTGAAATTTATTTTATGCACTATGAAAAGAGAACTAGTTGGCCTGGCTGAGCTGATGATGTGCCATGTCAACATTTTTTAGCTGTTGTTTTGAGCCTAAAACCTTTAGATTTTGATGCATTCCTTGAAGAAAGTATTTGCAACAGTAAAGTCTCTCTCTCTCTCTCTCTCTCTCTCTCTCTCTCTGTGGCATCTATTGATATGCAATAATTCCCAGCAATGTTAATTAGAATTTCACTCTGCATTCTGGGTTCAGCAGTGAGATATTTCTTGAAAGTGTTATTTAGGCCAGCAAATTATTTAAGTATATTGCTATCTGTTTACAACTGAATTTTTGTATTTGACCTTAAATAAACTTGAATTGCTTGTGGCCTTTCATCTTATTCAAAATGAAACAAGCATATTTTCTGAAAAGGCCTTTTGTCAAATTCTTAAAGATCGCAGTCGGGTTAGCCTTTTTTTTTTCATTGTTCCTGTCCTTTTGAATCCTGATAATCTAACTAGGTGTTATCAACACTTCTTGATTTTGGTTGTTATTAGCCATCGTTTTCCCAATAATTCATTGGTATTTTCTTTTCATTCAGATTTATTTTAGACAAGAAAATCGGTGTTGGCCAACCAAAACGGATTGAAAATGCAAAGATCTTGGTGGCAAATACTGCCATGGATACGGATAAAGTGAAAATTTATGGGGCACGGGTTCGTGTTGATTCAATGGCTAAGGTTGCTGAAATTGAAGGGGCTGAAAAGGAAAAGATGAGGGAGAAGGTGCAAAAGATTATTAACCATGGGATCAATTGTTTTGTTAATCGACAGTTGATTTACAATTTCCCTGAAGAACTATTTGCTGATGCTGGAGTACTTGCAATAGAGCATGCTGATTTTGATGGTATTGAGAGGCTGGCTCTTGTTACTGGTGGTGAGATTGCATCTACTTTTGATAATCCGGAGTCCGTTAAGCTTGGGCACTGCAGGCTCATTGAGGAAATTATGATTGGTGAGGACAAGCTGATCCACTTTTCTGGGGTTGAAATTCATCTACTTTTGATAATCCGGAGTCAGTTAAGCTTGGGCACTGCAGGCTCATTGAGGAAATTATGATTGGTGAGGACAAGCTGATCCACTTTTCTGGGGTTGAAATGGGTCAGGCATGTACTATTGTCTTGAGAGGGGCAAGGTACTTTTCTTCATAATGACTTAATCGATCCACTCTTTTTATCTTTTTAAAGACCAAAGTTGAACAAGAAAATGCACTGGACCACTTCTACCCTGCCTGCTAGAGGCAGTTAAGAATATTAAAGAAGCAAAAGTAAAGCGGGCCCCTATTCTCTCGTTTGATAAAGATTTNAAAAAAAAAAATGAAGAAAAAAATGAAAAATATATATTTTTGATTTCTGAGTGAAATTGTCATAATCATAGAAAATGTTTTTCTGGTGACAATTATGACATGGATCATGATAATGTTACCTGACTCTTTCTTGAATCAGGTGTATAAAGGCAAAAAATGTACTTTTTGAATCAAGTAAAACAAATTTCTTTTTAACTTTCTACTGGACTGATTCACTTCTCTTCCTTTATTTGAACACTTGTTCTGATTCTTGTCCACAATCATTGACTTTTTGACAAATTAAAATTCATAATTCACTTGGCTCACTTCTGTGGTGTACTAGATCTAATTGACACAACTGATCTGAAGTGATATGGCTTTTTTTTTGAAGCAATATTACTTTGGAAGGTAAATGTTGGTATTGAAGTCCCAGGAACTTGATCTCACTTCTTGTTAGTTGGCATCATGTGAACTATGATAGTCTTCTAGAAAGCAATAATTTTATGTCAAATTCGAAGTGATCAAACAAAATCACAATTAAAATAGATTCATAGGTTTGATATCTTGTATAGAACTCATGGTTGAAAGAAATATTCGATAGATCACATAGAGACCACAAATGAGGTGGGTTGATTAACAATTCACAGATGAAAAAATGGCAAAAAATAAAGCATTGACTCCTCTTTTGTATTTTGCATCTAAAATATTTTTGCCCTGGAGGATTTCTCTGCATTCTGTGACTGTGTAATTACATATTTGCCTAGCTTTATTTGATCTGTTGAGTGACTTTGTATTGTGTCCAACCATTTTATAGTTTTGTAATATTGAAGCAGAGTTTGCAGTTATTTTACCTCTTGGAATTAAGAAGTCATGGATTTCTGTGACACCTAGCCCTTACTGATGTCATCTGTGTTCCATTGGCAGCCCTCATATGTTGGATGAAGCGGAAAGATCTCTGCATGATGCCTTGTGTGTGCTATCTCAAACTGTTAATGACAGCAGGGTATTGCTTGGAGGTGGATGGCCTGAGATGGTGATGGCAAAGGCAGTTGATGAACTGGCTAGGAGGACTCCTGGCAAAAGATCTCATGCCATTGAAGCTTTCTCACGGGCACTTGTGGCCATTCCAACTACCATTGCAGACAATGCGGGTTTGGACAGTGCTGAGATGATTGCTCAACTTCGTGCGGAACACCAAAATGAGGAAAGCTCTGCAGGGATTGATGTCATCTCTGGATCGGTGAGTTCACTATTGAATTTTGTATAAATTAACTTTTCCCTCTTGCTGCTATTATTCTTGGTTGCATTTCCTGCGTTCTATTCAGGATACTTCCAACAAGTTTAGTAATCGGGTATACCTGTATAAATGTGGTTGTTCTCTCCTTGTGTGAACAAGGTGTTTACCTGTTTAGGTTACTTTACTGTCTTGAAAACACAAGTTAACATTGAGCAATGAAATTTATCTATTACTCCCTCCTTCCCACAAAGATAAGCTTGCTTTCATTTTCACACCGATTAAGAAAATGTAATTAAATTAGTTAAAGCAATAAATTTTATTTATATTTTTCCTAATATACTCCTACATTGAACAATGGTTTAAATAGGATTAGTTCATATTTGTTGATAACAAACCACATTAAATAGAGACATTAGAAAACTAAGAAATCAACTACTCTCAACCAGGAAAGTGATCTATAAACTGGGACAAATGAGAAAAGAAAGTATGCTTATCTCTATGGGATGAAGGGAGAACTATTTATAATTGTGCTCATGGCCATCCTTTATGTTGACTGTCATTTTTCTCTGTTTTCAATTTTATATGTACTTTCGGATTTGAGTACTCTAATAATTTTTGCAAGAGCACATTCCAGTATCTTGTTTATAGGTGATATCCAAGGTGCATAATTTTTTACTGTACGGTTAAAATATAGATATGGCTTTTGCATCCCATGTTTCACGGTTTCACAATTCTTGCTTGTAATTTTCACTATGGCCCTTTTGACGGTTGCTATCTTTTGTAGGTTGGCAATATGGCAGATCTGGGGATATCCGAGGCATTCAAAGTGAAGCAGGCTGTATTGCTCTCCGCAACTGAAGCTGCTGAAATGATTTTAAGGGTTGATGAAATCATCACCTGTGCCCCACGGCAGAGAGAAGACAGAATGTGAAGAAATGCTTTATTTATAAGTGGAACTGAGACTATTATTGCAGTGCTTTGTATTTGTAAAACCTGACCTGTCGTGAATCAGATGGAATTTGTTATGGTTGAAGAACAGAGCCATGCTGATTCTTCTTAACGTTGAAACATTTTTGTGGGATGTTAGCATGTTTTGTTCCGTACAATTCAAACACAGTTTAAAATTCGTTTTTGCCCCCTTATTATGAGGATTTTAATATTATGGGTATATTTTAGTGTTTACATGGCGGACTTTTTATTCGATTACACATGCTTCTATCAAGGGCTAGGACTCTTTTTCTTGGCATGGCAAGAGTGTTACATGGAAGATGTATTTTTAACGTATGTAAAATGCGTATGATGTAATGTAATTTGTAATTTTCAGTATGTGAAAAATATGATGACAGAGTATGTTTTAAAAGTAGATTGCATAGAAAGCGAATTTTTTTAAGATGAATGGTTGTGAAGTAAGGAAAAATTTTGAGTTTACGTAAAAAATATATTTTATTGAAGAATGTATAATTGGGAATGAGTTTGGTGGAAATTAGTTTCAAAGAATGGGGATCAAACATAGACTCAATATGTTTGATCATGGTTTTCTTTTTTTTTTTTTGTAACGATTTGTGTCTGTTAAATTTGTTAATTCATATGTATTGTTCATTTTGGGAGAGTTTGTTCACAAATTTCTTTCAAGTCACTTAGAATCGAGCTTAAAATCACTATCTTATGAGATGTTAAAGTCAAATCATGGTATTAATTGGACACATAATGTCCATTTTGGACCAGCTTGCATCCATCTTAGTTGCTCACATTTTTTATTTTTTCATGTCCTCGTGATTCAGATTAAATATTTGCCTTATGAGAGCAATTGATATCGGTATCCAATTTAAATCTTTCATAAATAAGTTCAAAAGATTCAACTTGAATCTCTCGTAACACAAAGTTTGAATTGAAGTCATGCGGAACACTGAATTGAAGTCATGCGGAACACCAAAAAATTCATGAGTAGGATGAACACATGTTCTCACAATCTGAGCTTTCCCTAAATGAGCAATATGTATGCATTAACGGCTTGTGCAAATA